GGTGGCTGTGTCGGGTCAGTTAGCTGCGTCTTGTTCGTGTCGGCTACTCACGCACGAGACTCTCCTCCGGCACCACCGTCTTGGTCACCCCTCCCTGCCGCGCCTTCGTGGCATGCACTCTCGTCTCTTTGTCTCTGGACTCCCCAGTTCCCTGCCCCCGCTCCCGCGCTCGCTTGCACCGCCGTGCCTTCCCTGCATCGAGGGGCGGCAGAGCGCCGCTCCTCACTCCTCTTCGTTTCCTCCGACCACTGCTCCTCTGCAGACTCTCCACATGGACGTGTGGGGCCCCGCCCGCGTCCGTGGACAGGATCATGAGCGCTACTTTCTGCTGGTTGTTGACGACTACACGCGCTACACCACGGTCTTCCCCTTGCGGAGCAAGGCGGATGTCCGCAGTGTTTTGATCCCCTGGATCACTGCTGTTCGTCGCCAGTAGAGCGCCCGGTTTCAGCTGGACCTCCAAGTCCTTGGCTTCCCCACCGACGCCCCGCCCTGGCAGTTTTACCACCCTTCCTCGCGCCGCGTCCTGTCCGCACAGGACGTCACCTTTGACGAGTCGGTCTGCTTCTACCATCTCCACCCGCACGTGTCTTCCCCACTCTCCCCGCCGCCCCTCTTCCTGGTCCCAGGTCCCCCCCCGGTAGACCCCCTCCCCCCACAGGGTCCTGCTCCCTCAGGTGTGTCTCACGTCGACCCACCCCCCTTGGTTGAGACTTTGGAGGTCTCCTCTGACACCTCTGGCCCAGCTGAGGGGGGTGACCCCGCTGCTGACGACACGACGGCCACTCGCCGCTCCCCGCGCTTGGAGACCCCTCCTGGTTTTCCGCCTCGGCTGTCTTCGCCGCCTCCGCAGCCTGTCGCTGTAGACCCTGATGCTGCTAGGGGTGGTGACACTGGGGGTGCGGACTCTGGAGGTGCTGGTCCTGAGGTTGCTGACTCTGGGGGTGCTGGTCATGGGGGTGCTGGTTCTGGGGGTGCTGCGAGTCCTAGTGGTGGTGGAGTCGTGGGTGCTCCTGCTGGAAGTCCTAGCGTTGGACCGCAGCAGCAGTCTCAAGACCCTCTCGCCGCATCAGCTTCGCGACTGGGTTGTTCGGCGAGGCCGCTGTGCCGGAGCTTGGAGTACTGGTGCTGGAGGTACTGGAGCTGGAGGTGCTGATGATGCAGGAGGTATTGGAGCTACTTGTGCTGGAGGTGCTGGAGGTACTGGAGCTAGTGGTGCTTGACGTGCTGGTGCTGGAGGCCCTGAAGCCGCTGGTGTTGGAGGTGCTGGAGCTACTGGAGCTCTTGGTGCTGGAGGTGCTAGAGCTGGAGGTGCTGGAGGTGCTGGACAGCAGCGGCAGTCTCGTCGCCGAGAGACTCTCTCGCCGCAGCAGCTTCGCGACTCAGTTGTTCGGCGAGGCCGCTCTGCTAGAGCTTGGAGTACTGGTGCTGGAGGTGCTGGAGCTGGAGGTGCTACTGGTGCTGGAGGTGCTGGAGCTGGAGGTGCTGGAGCTACTGGAGCTACTGGTGCTGGAGGTGCTAGAGGTGCTGGAGCTGCTGGTGCTGGAGGTCATGGAGCTGCTGGTGCTGGAGGTACTGGAGCTACTGGAGATGCTGGTGCTGGAGGTGCTGGAGGAACTGGAGCTGCTGGTGCTGGAGGTACTGGAGCTGCTGGTGCTGGAGGTGCTGGAGCTGGGGGTGCTGGAGCTACTGGCGGTACGGGTACTGCGCCGCGACGACAGATTTTCTACCCGCAACCGCAGTCGTCCCTGTCACCGCCTGACTCGGCTCTTCGTTGGGTTCTTAGTCTTCCGTCTTCCACTGGCCTTACTCCGCCTCTCGTGTGTCATCCGCCTGACCAGTCACAGCCGGAGTTACTGCCTGGCTTTCCACTGCCTGCTCCTTCTCCTTACCCTGCGCAGACAGGCTCCTTGGCAGAGCGTCGTGAGCCTGAGTCTCGTCCTGCCTTCCCTTTTCGCAATGCCAGTCGTGCTCGTCGTCCTCGTCCTCCACCTATCCCCGGCACGCACATTATGGCACTTCGTCCTTCCTCTGTTCCACATCGTGTTGCTCTGCCGTCTCCTCCGGCGTCCTCTCTTCCTGACGTTCCGGACCCTGAGTCCGACCTTGCTCGTGCTGCTAGTCCTACTGTCACTCGTCTCCTAGCCACCTTTGTCACTGACCCTTCCTTTGAGTCTACTGTTGCGTCTACCTTAGTCACTGAGCTCGTAGACTTTGCTGCTACCTGTCGTCTTGACTACGTCGAGAGTCTTGTTGCTGAGTATGAGTCTGACCGTCCTCCGTCCGTCGGGGGTGAGCTTGCCCTTGGCGGTGACGTCCTTGAGGACAGGCAGTGTGAGCTCGAGTGCCTCGCGGCCGTTTTGCCTCGTCTCGCGTCCTTGCTGCTTTGCCCTGAGGGAGACCCGGATGCACTTGACATCCCTACCCCGCGCACTCACGCAGAGGCGATCACGGGTGAGTACTCCTCTCAGTGGCAGACAGCCATGGACGCAGAGATGGCTTCCTGGAAGTCCACAAGAACCTACTTCGACGAGGTTTCCCCTCCTGGGGCGAACATAGTCGATGGCATGTAGATGTTCAGAGTGAAGCGGCCGCCGGGCTCTCCGCCTGCCTTCAAGGCGCGTTACGTTGCTCGAGGATTCAGTCAGCGACAGGGGGTCGACTTCTTCCAGACCTTCTCCCCCACCCCAAAGATGACCACTCTTCGGGTGTTATTGCACGTTGCAGCACATCGTGACTACGAGCTGCACTCCCTCGACTTCTCCACAGCTTTCTTGCAGGGCAACCTTCACGAGGAGATCTGGCTGCGCCGCCCACCTGGCTTCACTGGGTCGTTTCCTGAGGGTACCTAGTGGAGCCTCCGGCGGTCGGTCTACGGTCTCCGCGTGGCGCCCCACGAGTGGCACGACACACTGAGGACGACGCTTGCGGCTCTTAGGTTTGCTCCTTCGACCGCTGATCCGTCGCTGTTTCTGCGCACCGACCCTTCTCTGCCGCCGTGCTACATCCTCGTGTACGTCGACGACTTGGTCTTTGCTACTGCCAACACTGAGGCGCTGACCCTTGTGAAGGCGGAGCTGCAGAAGAGACACACGTGCACTGACCTGGGTGATCTGCGCAGCTATCTTGGCTTGCAGATCACCCGGGACAGAGCATGGCGCACCATCACTGTGACTCGGTCACACATGGTGCACTAGGTCCTTCAGCGCTTCGGCTTCCCGTTCTCCTTGCCACTGTCCACTCCTCTGCCTACAGGCCACTTGCTCTCAGCTCCACCTTCGGACGAGTCCGTAGAGCCGAGTGGTCAGTATCTAGAGCTTGTGGGCTGCCTCATGTAGCTGATGACGTGCACTCGACCTGACCTCGCGTACCCTCTCAGCATCCTTGCGTGCTACGTTGCGCCCGGGAGACACCGGCTAGAGCATTGGTGGGCTGCTAAGAGGGTGTTGCGTTACTTGTGCAGTACGTCGGGCATGGGGCTCGTGCTTGGAGGACGGGGTTCAGTGGTACTCACAGGACACTCTGACGCTTCTTGGGCCGACGACCAGGCGAATCAATGGTTGTCACAGGGTTACTCTTTCAGTCTCGGCTCTATTTCTGTCTCGTGGAGGTCCACTCATTCGACTTCAGTGCTTTGTTCCAGCTGTGAGGCCGAGATCTACGCTGGGGCCATGGCTGCACAGGAGTTACGCTGGCTGGCCTAGCTGCTGACCGACTTAGGTGAGCAGCCTCGTTCCCCTCCAGTTCTGTACGTCGACAACAAGGCCATGATTGCCTTGTGTCGGGAGCAGCGACTGGAGCATAGAACGATGCACATTGCTCTTTGTTACTTTCTTGCTCGAGAGTTGCAGCAGCGTGGTCAGCTGCGCCTTGCTTACATGGCCTCTTGGGCCAACACTGCTGATGTCCTCACCAAGGCCATTGCGTCTGGTGATCATCAGCGTTTCTGCACTGCTCTAGGCCTTGTGCCTACTCTGCCTCACTTGCTTACTACTTGACTTTGCCTTGTACTGTGATCTATATATATATATATACCTGCATGCTTGCTCTTGCTAGGTTGTGATCACTGTACTGCTTGTGCTTTTATAACTCTGCATGTGAACTGGCCTTGTGGCCGCTTGCTTGTGCTCAGACTGCGTGGTGATCTTGAGATCCACCCTGAGCTTTGCTTTGCTTTGTTCTCTTGCTTGACTGGTCTTGTGACCGTTGGTTGTTCTTGCTACCCCCCAATTTGCCTATGGGGGTGTGTCAAACTGTGTTTGTATGTCTATAGGCTGTAGTGGGGTAGCCTCTACTGAGTACAACACGTTAGGGTTAGACCTAGTATTTGTACTCATCTCATGCTTCTAGTCATCCATTCCTGCACGTTATTTCTCACAAAACTGACGTGTCTTTGCCCCTGTGTGTTGGCAAAGAATCGGTAGCACGCGATTCTGATTCCTGGCGCTATAAGATTTTGCCTCGATTGGACCGGTACGAGTGAGATGTACATTTTGATGCTATAAAGGTATATATCTGTATCTGTCATTATATAAGTGCATGCGCTTATAAAAATGTCTCAATTAGAAGCGCACCCCCCTAAAAAACTCTATTTTATATCTGTATTAGGTGCGCTTCTATCCGGGGTGATACGGTACATCTGAACCTCGATTATAAGCGCCACCCAAACTGCTTGCGTATAATAAGCGCACCCCCTGTATTATTCATGTACAGCTTTAACTGAAAACGGTGTAACGAAATTTACTTTAGCATCCTGGAAATCTGAAGCTAGGTACCATGGCCCTAGATTCGTTATGGACCAGGCTGATCCATCAGCCCTGGTATGGTAAAAAACGCTGACAATCAGCGTTACCTAGGAAAAAAACGGCTGGAAATTCAGAGTTGGTACAAAAAAATATGATTTTTGAAAACTATGTGTATGATTTTCTTTTTAAGAAATAGTACAAAATCAGTGTCACAAGAATCACGGTTGGTTTTGGTGTGGGGGCGAAGCAGGTGGGCTAGAGGGAGGGGCCATAGTAGCAGGTGGGCTGGGGCGGGGGGAACGAGAAAGGCACATGGGTTGAGGGGAGGGGAGAAACAGGGTGGGCTGGAGGAGAGCCGAGAGGAAGTGGTGGACTGGGGGGAGTTTCGAGAGAAAGAGGTGGTTTGGAGGGGATTTCGAGAGAAAGAGGTGGGTTGGGGGGAGTTTCGAAAGGAAGAGGTGGATTGGTTGGGGGGAGTTTCGAGAGGAAGAGGTGGATTGGTTGGGGGGAGTTTCGAGAGGAAGAGGTGGGTTGGGGGAAGGGACGGGTGGAAGAGGTGGGCTAGAGGAGGGGCGAGCAAAAGAAGGGGGGCTAGGTGGGAGAGTACACTTTTGATAGTCACACTTTTGCCTTAGGGTAAAATTTTCATGGACCTTGGTTTCCCTGATCTGTCAGGGTTTCTGTGTTAGGCACACTTTGGCCTTAGTGTAATCGTTTGTCTTAGTGAGTTTTACCCTGAAGCGAGTACCAGGCAACTTGATCCCCCCTCCACATCCCCCCCCTCCCCCCCTTCCTATTTCCCACCTTCCCTTTCCCCCCCCCTCCCCCGCCCCCTCCTTACCCGAGCACCCCGAAGCATGATTGATGAGATTTTCAGAATTCATGTGGATGTGTTCACAGCTCGACTACTTGCGATTGGTCAGTTTTAAGACTTAGCACAGTGCAGAGCACGATGTCGCCGCCCACTAATGTAGGCACCTACTGTTGGTAACGTCACTTGGCTGGCTCGCTAATGAATTTCAAAGATATCGCGAAAACAAAGCTCAAAATCAGTACACCCACAAATGCATCATCAGGGTAATAAAAAAGGTTACACTTTGCCCCTAGGGTTTTATTTTCAGAAACAAGGAAAACAGTGACGGTTAAAGGTAATGACAACAGGGCAGGCTGATAATCAGGGTTTACAAAAAGACTACACTGCTAATCAGAGAACCTAAAAATGAAAAATTAACCCTGAGCTCCGCCAGCGCGTCACAGTCGTCAGCCAGACCCAGCGGGTCGAACTCACCGCTGGGATACAGCGGGTCCTCCACGTCCAGGAAGCCGTCCAGACCTCCCACGTGATAGCTCTCCTCAGCACCCACGAGGATCACCTGCGTCGGCCATATGGCCAGGATGGACTGCTTGTGGATCAGGCTCGGATTGCCCAGGCAGTCCAGCCCGCCCTCCGAAAAGATCTGCGCGCCCGCCTTGAACCACACCCCCTTGCCCAAGTTCACGCCGTTGCGGGCCAGCAGCTCGGGCGTGAGGCAGCCCAGCGCGCCGAGCATAGCCCACAGCGCGTGGATGACCTGAAGGGTTGGCGCACAGCCAGGTAAGAGACGTTAGACACTACTTGAATTGGAATGATATTTATTACCTTAAAGCTGTCGCCTACATACTTCCTGCGGGAGGACCAGGTTTATCACTTGAAAACCTGGTAGCACTGAGCTTCGCTCCAAGCTTGAGTGGCGAGGTGCAGTTACTGCTCTCTGACAACCCAATCCCCCCTCTGAAAAGTGGCCAGCTCAGGATTGGCTTACAATTTTCGCGCCAATCTCCTCCCCAACCTCGATTGGTTGAGGGTTGTGGCGAAATCGTGAACACAACCCCAACCTCACGAAATAAGTACCCCCCAACCGAACCATGCACGAAACTGGCGGGATTCGCCAGTTGTGTTTGAAACCTTCGCGCCCTCTTTTCTGGAAAAGGATTATTTCGTGAGCAAATCAGACAGCGTCCTAGGGTGTGCACCCGAAATACCCCCTGAAAATACCATTTCGAATGTAGACCGCAGCTTTAAGGTACAAGAATCGGGATAGTTTGCATGAGGCCAGATGGATCCGAATGGAGATAATTTTGTGAATAGCTAGCTTTTATCAGTTTAGGCATAGGTTTGAGTGCGACATTACAAATGCGATGTAGCTTACCTCCAGCTCGCGGTTCTTGGCAAACAGCAGACAGACCTGCCGTGTCCCAGCCGTAGTCACTAGGATACTCGCCGGTGAGGTACGAGGGAGGAGACCTAAAGGGGCCTAGGAACAGGTTGCGGTCAGGGGCGCTGCAGGAAGCCGCCTTGGCGGTCTTCCCCATCGTGACGCGCGCCTCAACCTTGTTCACCTTGGCGGTGTGGTCACTGCTCTGCCCGATAAAGGTGGACGGGAGCAACGCGATGTTGGCGAGAGCAGCCATTTCGGACATGCGAAGTGAAATTCCCGAAACCAAAGTTGTGATGTGAAATTAATGGAGTAAATGAGGCTGATTGCTCTATGTGTTGTGCTGAGCTGCGACCGATGCCACCTTTCAACTTAACAAGGTCTGCGGGACGATTGAACTTGGAGGGAGGGAGGGACGCCGCAATGGTGATTGGATGCTGACTCATTGCGTACCACATGCCTTCCCGTGACTCTCTGACGCTCTAAACTTTCCCCATCTCCTTTGTTCCGAAGCCACTCAATGCAAGCTTGGCCGATCACGATGGGCAATTGGTTGGGTGGTGTTGTGTGGGCTTGATGTGGTCAACGCAAACATACCAGTCAATACGTATTTCGCCAATTGCCGTCGTGGTCACACAGCAACACACCCAAAAGCGAGCGTATGAATGGCAATGACAATCTGGCCGCCATGGTTTGTATCAGGCACTTTGGAGCAGCCAATGTCAATCATTTTCTTATCAGATGCCTTTTCTAAGCATAGTTTCGGAATCTACATGGCAACGTGCACCTGGGAGTAAGTTTTTTGTGCCTATCCATCGGGCATGTTATTACCAAGTGCATGTCAGGCTTCTCCAAGGTCCTAAGAGCAACTCAAGGTTTCCTGGCAAACGGCAAGCTGTTCAGCCAGCGCAACAACAATGAAGTCATCCTACCTACCAAGTTTCAGCGATCTACTACGATTTTACCTTAATAGTTGGCTATAAAGTATCAGTGCTAAGACAAAAGTCTGTTGTTTCCTCAACGTCATCATTGCACCATGGGTCGTCCGCCAAAGAAGGCAGCTCAGGAGGCTGCGCCGATTCCCAAGGATGCTCTTGTTGGCATTACCCGCTCGCCATTGAAAAAAGGCCATCAGTCGGAGCCAGCCACCCAGAAGCCGCTGCTCAAGGAGGTTCTGGGCCCTTTCGCGGACAACACTCGTGTCTTGCTGGCGAGCACACTGGCCACGCTGAGCTTCCAAAACCTGGAGGACGAGTTATCAGGGGAGGCAAGCACTGCGGAAGGCGAGGAAAATAAAAACGACGGCGCTCCGTCGTCGAAAGTCCACAGTGACCCTGCTAGTGGGGAGGAAGAAGAGGAAGATGACGACGGATACCTTAGTGGTGACCCGGAAGAAAGGCTAGACCCGATGCACTCTGGCAAAGTCATGGCTCAAGCGGGCTTCTCAATCACCCTGCTCATCCCTCACGATAAGGAGTGTGAGGTCCCGCGCACACGGTCAAAAGTCTATGTGCGCTTTGGAAGAAGTCGCTGTCAGCGCAAGCTCAGGAGTCAACGAAATTACAGATCCCGTTGTCAGCCTATTTGTCAAAAGCTCGGTATGGGAGACTCTAAGTCACGTTCCTGCAAGCAGCAGATGCGAACTTTGTTCGGTGTCGTCGCGTTGAGCACATCTGACTGGTAGCATCAGGAAACCCCGGTTCAGTCCAAGGAACGCGCGACTCACTCGGAGGCCAATAAGGTGCTGTTGAAGGGGGTTCCAGCTATGATCTCATCGGACATGGTGTACAAGCTCCTCGTAACCACTCCGCTGGAGAAGCGTGGCCACTCTGCGTTACTCAGCGGCGCAACGTTCCACATAATCTTGTATCCTGTGACAGGGACTGACACAGACAAAATCAGGGGCCTGGTGAAAGGTCACCCGGGGGATAAGTACCGGTGGTGCACCTGTTGGTCGACACCGTCCACCACAATAAGCTGCTTGTTCATTACATATCACTTTCATGTGATTTTTGCAACGGGATGCATATGGCAAGTTTCATGAAGATTACGTCACAAACATACAGGAGAATATTGGAAAATGAAACTTGACGTTGCAGCGAATTCATGCCATCAACGGTAATCATTTGTGCTCTAACCATGCTTTTCAAGCTATTGAAGTCCCGGCCCGGTACGCTGACGGCTATCACACGCGCTACTTGAGCAGCTGCATCGCATGCGATCAACATGACCATCAATATGATTCTGCGAGACCCAGCGATGGCCTTGATCTCCACTGAAGGCTTCCGGGAGGTTTGCGTCTGCATCCAGGAAGAATGCAAGAAGGCACGCGGGTCCAATTTCACCCAGGCTTTGGCGCATGTGCAGTTAGTCCAGCACCGCACAAAACTCATGAAAAGGGGGCTTGCTAGCCAAGCAAGGCAGGAAAAGATGAACCTTACAATGACTTGCAAGGAGTTCGGCATCTGACAGCCGAAGGGAGAAGATGGCTGGCTGACCAGTTTCGTCTACCTGTAGGAGAGAGTGCAGGGTTGTTAGTTTTCTCATCATGTAGTAGCCAGAGGAAGGATGTAGTAGGTATCAACTATAATCAAGCCTATGGATGCGAAGGGGCTCTTTTTTTGTCAAACAACAACAACAACAACAACAACAACAACAACAACAACAACAACAACAACAACAACAACAACAACAACAACAACAACAACAACAACAACAACAACAACAACAACAACAACAACAACAACAACAACAGCAACAGCAACAACAACAACAACAACAACAGCAACAACAGCAACAGCAGCAACAGCAACAACAGCAACAACAGCAACAACAGCAACAACAGCAACAACAGCAACAACAGCAACAACAGCAACAGCAGCAACAGCAGCAACAGCAGCAACAGCAACAACAGCAACAACAGCAACAACAGCAACAACAGCAACAACAGCAACAACTGGCTTCATCACTGGACAGAGGCCCTGGGATGTGGAGGTTGCAAGCAGGACAAGCGAAAAGATGGGGGTTAGAACAATGACTAAGGAGATTTTGAGGAAGTTGGGAGAGGAGCCGGGGAACGAATTTGGGAAAACCTTGAAGCTGGATAGTGCGGGCTTGAGAACATACTCGCGAGAAGAAAAGAGGAGGGTGAGGGCGATTGCACGCACCTGGAAAGGGAAGTGAGAGACTTCGCCATGCCGTGATGCGGCACCCCGCTAACAAGAGAGCGCATAGCAGGTTGGTATGCAAGGAGGCACACCTTGAGGCGTACCCGCAAAGTGAAAGAGAGGGGATGCAGGTATTAGGGGGGATCATAGTGGATCTAGATGGGAAGGTACTGTCGCCGTACCCGTTGGCAAAAATATAGATGCGAAAAAAGCATACGACAATTCAACAAGTGACCCATCGAGGGATGATGCACTGGGGGACAAAGGAGGCGCCGACGGCGGCAGCAAACCATCTTAGCACCACCTTCCAGGATCTGTCACCGAAAGAGGCGGTTGACTGGGCGAGCTTCTCAGACGCGGACACGTCCCAGCTAGGCTTGGAGTGGGCAGAGGCAGAGGTCACATGCGCACTAAACAACTTGCCAAAAAGGCAAGTCCCCGGGGCATGACGGGCACCCTGCCTCGGGGAGCTGATAGGTAGGAAAGTGATGCATTCGTAAAGGGATTCGAGCGGAAGTCACAGATGCCAGAGTGCCCCTCAAATGTAGCAACGGATCACAAATGTGAGCCTCTCAAACGTGAGCGGAAGTCACAGATGCTGTACAAAAAAGGATCAACGGACCGCCAGTTGGAGAATTACCGCTCCATCATGCTACTTTAGATAATGTACAAGGTGATTGCGAAGGTCATGGCCACAAGGCAAAATAAGGTGCCGGGGAAGGTTCTGTCAAAGGAACAACACGGTTTCATATCGGGACAAAGTTTGGCGGACGCCGTGTCAGAGGTAACGGACGCGGTGGAAGCGGCGAACAACGGCGGGGATGACTGGTTGCTGTTGCTGGTGGATTTCAAGAAGTTGTATGATACGGTCTCGAGAGAATACCTCGTTAGGACGATGTAAGAGCTAGGAGCACCAGAACAAGAGGCCTGAATACAAAAGAACGCTCAGAAGAGAAGCTGCGTCGGCCTTCTCCACGGTGAGTAACGCCATGAACTCCGTGACGAGCTTGTTGTCACGGATGAAGGTGATGAACAGGATCATGTGCTTCCCGCTGCACCAATCCTTGCTCTCGTCAATCGAGATGCCGACGAAGGGCGACGCCAGCACATGTTCCATCTGGGTTGTCTGGAGCCATGTCGCAGTCGCTTGCGTCAGCTCACCGAAGCCGTATCTGCACATGAAAACAATAGTCAATTAAATATTTTCGTGGATAATATTGAAACACCGATGTATAATAAATAGGGTATGGCAGTTGCACTCACGTGGTGTAGTAGGTGCCGTACCCCTTCTTCGGGAAGCCCTGCACGCCCTTCTCCGCCAGGTACCGCACCAGTTTCACCCACATCCCCATAGGCGTGTCGGATCTGCTGACGAACAGCAACGAGTCGAGAAGGGCGACGACGCGCAGCTTCTCTCCGTCAACCGTGGCGCGATGTTGGTCGATCTGCGGCTGCCTCACCCCGCACTCCTCCAGAGCTGTGAATCTCGCCATCGCCAACTTGTGCTTTGCCGTGCCAGCATGCTTACGAAACGACTATGTCTGCAACTCCGTGGTGCCTTTCCCGCGCCTCCCGCACTTGCCTGCGTCGCCAGCATGAACTGCACAAACAGTACACTTGAACGCAGGCAACCCTGAGGTGTTTTTAGTGATGTGAAGCCAAGGAAAACGTGCAGACCATTGACTCTTGAACTTGTCAGTCGCATCGTCGTAGACTTCTTCAATGAGCTCTGCCAGGTTGATGTTGAGGCGAGGACGCGGCCGCTCAGAGGAGCCGGGAGCGTTGTTGACATCGGCAGACGACGATGATGCCTTGGCGAAGCTCAAGGTTGCCTGCTTGAGCCGGATGGTGCGCGCCGTGGTCGGAGTAGGATGGTGCGAGGCCGAAGCCACAGTAGGTTCCGCAGCTGTCTCTTCCACAGCGTCGTGAGAGATGGAGATAGCAGGTGCTGCGGGTTCCTTCTGGGTGGGGATCGTATCGGGCGTGGTGCGTGCTGCCTTATTGAGTTCTAGAGAACTGAGCAAGAAATCTAAGCCTATTAAGGCTGGTGGCGGGATTGTCCTGCACCGCCATGGCGGGGTTCTGAAAGAGCATGCCGAGCAGGAACTAGAGAGGTGGTTTTGAGGCAGTACTGGGTACTGGCTGGGGCCAGTGAGTTGAATCTCGGGGGTGTGGATGAAACCCTAGCTCAAAGACGATGGCCCTATAACCCACTATGGGCCATCCTTGAGTTGGGAGGGTGGTTGCCTAGCATGCACGGCAACGACGAGGCGTGCCTGCCGTGCAATGCTGTCAGCAGTGTTTTGTGGGTGCCTATTGCAGCATCGTGGGTACCGGAGGAGTCCGTGATGGCATGCAAAACCTGCCAAAAGGACCAATCAGTGCTCAAACAGGGTGTGAGCTGGTGCTTGCGAGGGAAAAATCGTGCCGCAGGGCGGCGTCGCCAACAGAACTTGACTGTTGTCCCATGTTTCGCGTGATTGACGGGTACAAGTACCACCGCTAATCCTGGGTGTCGGCGCCAACGTACATTGAAGTAGAGTCGGTCGGTACGCGTTTGTTGTACTCTGAATGATCATAGTACACTCCTGAAAAACTCTGAAATTTCAGAGGTAGCCTTAAAAAAAAATACGGTATGAAACTTTCAGAGTTGAGACCTTAAAAAACTGAAATGATCAGAGTCCACTGAAAATAAATTCTGAAATATCTGAGGGTACATGCAAATCAGAGAAATTTCTCTGACTTCTGGGGGCCTGATCTGGGCCATACGGTATAAGCACAGTGCTCTGGATAGAAGCTCATGCGCTTATCATAGGCCTGCACATATATTCGGGGTGACATAGTATCTGACAGTACTGCGCCATAAAATACTTTGCTACACAGCTTTCTTCATTTTACCTTGAAAAATAAGCAGACAAAACCAAATCATTTAGGTACCGGTACCATTACTAGGCTGAACATAACAATTGTGATACGGTATCCTTGGATCGAGTCCCCTAGTTCTTTTTTGCTTCCTTTTAAGAGTTGGGGCACTGGGGCGTATAATTCATGACCTGGGAAAAGTGCTAATGAGGCATGTGGGGGAGGGGGCGCCGCAGGTTCAGAGCTCGCTCTCCAGCAGGTCGTGCAGCACGTGGGGAGCGGGCTGTGTGATGTTGTTGAGCGCCACATAGAAGTCCATGGCGTATATGCTCTTCACCGCCTCGTATGTGTCCTGCAGCATGCGAGCATCGCAGCATGGCATCATGGCATCATGGCATCATGGCATCATGGCAGCATGGAAGCATGGCAGCATCGCAGATCACGCCATGGCAGCATGGCAGTATGGCATCATGGCAGTATGGCAGCATGGAAGCATGGCATCATGCCAGCATCACAGCATCACACCATGGCAGCATAGCAGCATTGCAGGGTGCACTGGCAATGGAAAGCGAGTTAGAGGTTTGCGGCAGCACATAGTCATGCCACACCTTGTCATACAGCCGTGCCACACCTTGTCATACAGCCGTGCAAGGCTGGCGTCGGCGTCTGCACCCTTCCCCGTGCCGTCCTCCTCAAAGATCTCCACCTGCGCCCCCTGCCCCCCGCCGCCCTGCCCGCCCACGCGGTCCACGACAGCGCGGGCGTCGTCCAGCAGGCTCTCCACACGGCCCACCACGTCGTACTTGATGGCCGACAGGGCGCACACGTCCACCTGCCACCCGCCCACCCATGCACCGCAGCCACGGGTGAAGCGGCACACATGGGGAGGTGCGTGACACCAAGGAATGTGCAAGTGACCACGTGCGATGCGGAAACGGGGACTCACGGCACATGCGTCCCATCTCTCTGTGTTTTTAAACATATCATTTTTATTCTAATACTTCACAAGCTTGGCTCGCCTTTCCACAGCATGAGCCAATTCTTAACACTCAGCATTCACACTCATTGTAGAGTAGTTTCCTTGTAAAAAACTTTTTTTGCATGCTCTCATGCTTGCTGTAACTTGAATCTGTCTCTGCAAAACAAGCAAGTACATGCCCACCTGCCTTGACATCCTCGTAATCTCATGCCATCCAACCAGTCCTCCTTTCCCCAACCACTGGTGCATTGCATGCCACATTTTATCCCCTGGACCAACACCTGTGCCTCACCACTAACACTCTCCTCGGGCTCACCAACCTCACCTGAGGTGCAGCAAGCCCACCTGAGGTGCAGCAAGCCCACCTGAGGTGCAGCAAGCCCACCTGAGGTGCAGCAAGCCCACCTGAGGTGCAGCAAGCCCACCTGAGGTGCGATGCGGGAGTCCATGAGGGGGCGGCTGTGGTCCATGAGGCGGCCCACGAGGCGCACGAAGGACGGGAAGGACAGCTGCCCCTCGCACTCCCGCACCACCGCCTCCACTATGGGCCGCACCGCTCTGAACAATGCCTGCTCACCCGTACCCGCACAGAGGGGTGTGGTGAAGTGGGTTTGGGGCAAATTGGGGAGAGATGGTGAGAGGAGAAGCTTGCCGGATGGTGAGAGGAGAAGCTTGCCGGATGGTGAGAGGAGAAGCTTGCATGGCCTTGCAGAGGCAAGCAGAGAAGGGAAGACAAGTGGATGTGTGGTGTTGCATGGCCTTGCAGAGGCAAGCAGAGAAGGGAAGACAAGTGGATGTGTGGTGTTGCATGGCCTTGCAGCTCTCTCTTGACTCTCTCCCGCTCGCACCCCATGGCCCCACCACACGCCCAAATGCCCACGCCCCGCTCCCCACATCCCCTACGTGGCATGCACGTGGCCGCGGCTCACATTGCTCCAGTGGTCGCGCGAGGTGGGTGCGTGGGAGTGGTGGGTGGCGAGCACGGTGGAGCGGAAGGTGGAGGCGAGGCGCGAGAAGGGGTTGCGCACAAACGTGAAGCGCAGCAGGTCGGGCCGCGTGATGATGCGCACCTGGTGGGGGGGGGGGGGAGATGAGGGGAGGGGGGAAAGGGGGAGAGGGCGGTGAGAAGAGGGTGCTGCAGGAAATTTTGGTAAAGCTTGTAAATGAAGAGATACGAGTAAGTAGAGAAAAATTGAAACGGTGGGGTGGGAGCGTGGAAGTGAACGAGAGAGAGGGTTGGGGAGCAGGCGAGGAAAGGGGGGAGGTGGGTGGGGTGGGGTGGGAGGGCGCACGGCTTGCGCCTCGGTGAAGTGCAGCGCAAGCTCGTGCAGCCCGCCATCGCGGTCGTCCACCGCCACGCGCCCCTCCCGCGGTGCTGGCAGCCCCAGACGCGCGCACAGCCATGTGAGCCACGCCGTGGACGCCACACTGGGCACCCCACAGTACATCACGCCCAGGCGCTCTGACGGGCGCAGGGGGGTGCGGCAGCACGGCAGAGGTATGGGCAGTGGGGCAGAGGATGGGGCAGGCAGCAGTGAGACAGGGCACATGGGAGTGGTGAGAAAGCACGGTGCCGGAGGTAGAGGCGACAGTGGGGAAACGAGAGAGCATGTGATGCATGGATGGAGCATGCGATGGTGGCAGCATGCGATGGTGGCAGCATGCGATGGTGGCAGCATGCGATGGTGGCAGCATGCGATGGTGGCAGCATGCGATGGTGGCAGCATGCGATGGTGGCAGCATGCGATGGTGGCAGCATGCGATGGTGGCAGCATGCGATGGTGGCAGCATGCGATGGTGGCAGCATGCGATGGTGGCAGCATGCGATGGTGGCAGCATGCGATGGTGGCAGCATGCGATGGTGGCAGCATGCGATGGTGGCAGCATGCGATGGTGGCAGCATGCGATGGTGGCAGCATGCGATGGTGGCAGCATGCGATGGTGGCAGCATGCGATGGTGGCAGCATGCGATGGTGGCAGCATGCGATGGTGGCAGCATGCGATGGTGGCAGCATGCGATGGTGGCAGCATGCGATGGTGGCAGCATGCGATGGTGGCAGCATGCGATGGTGGCAGCATGCGATGGTGGCAGCATGCGATGGTGGCAGCATGCGATGGTGGCAGCATGCGATGGTGGCAGCATGCGATGGTGGCAGCATGCGATGGTGGCAGCATGCGATGGTGGCAGCATGCGATGGTGGCAGCATGCGATGGTGGCAGCATGCGATGGTGGCAGCATGCGATGGTGGCAGCATGCGATGGTGGCAGCATGCGATGGTGGCAGCATGCGATGGTGGCAGCATGCGATGGTGGCAGCATGCGATGGTGGCAGCATGCGATGGTGGCAGCATGTTGATCGAGGAAAGGCAGCAGGGTGGTGACATCACGGGATGGTAACAAGTGCCAAGGCAGTGGTGGCATGGCAAGGCAGTGGTGGCATGGCAAGGCAGTGCAGTTGTGGCAGGAAAGAAGGAAAGGTGGACGAGCACAAGGAGAGGTGGACGAGCACAAGGAGAGGTGGACGAGCACAAGCAGAGGTGGACGAGCACAAGGGTAGAGTGGCGGAGTGAAGGAGGATGGAGTTATGGAGATCACGGAAGGTAGAAAGGAGAGGAGAAGAGAAGAGTGTTCATAAATGCATGTGATTATTGGAAAAGCAGTGCAATCCCCCGCGTTGCCCTTGACCCACCTTCCACGATGGTGTATTTAGCGAACTTGAGGTGTGTGATGGGGCGCAGCGGCGGCGAGTCACACACGGCTCGCTGCACGCGGAACAGCTCGCTGCGCGCGCTGCCGTGCGCCGCCACGAACCGCGCCTCCGCCGACGACGAGTTCACCGCGATTAGCCCTTGCGTGCGACTCAACGCATACAGCTCCGCCACCTGCCCTCCACCCGAGGGGGGGGTGGAGGGCGGGGAGGGAAGGATGAGGAGTGAATAACATGGAGCGGAGTGACTCGTGACAACCGGAGTGAAAGCAGGTGGCACCTCCCAGTGGAGGCATGGGGGCTTGGAGTGCAGCACTGTCTCCACACACTCACTCCTACACTGCACTGGCATGTCAACACTAGAATTGGAATGCGTACGCGTGCATGCAGGCACAGCAGCAGCTGTTCCGGTGTGACGCGGTTGTTGAAAGGCAGCAGCACCGCATCCCCCTCGCCCCCTCCACTGCCACCCCCATCGTCTGCTGCTCCGCCACCCCCTCCCACCGCGCCTGCCTGCAGGGCGGCAGCACTGGTCACTGGCGGCGTGTGGCGGTGGTCGCGCGGCGCAGTGACGTGTTCGCCGAAGGGGCAGGTGGCGGCGCGCAGCAGCGTGGCGTGCAACAGGGCGGGGGCGCGCTGCGCATGGAAGAAGTCGGCGACGGCGGCGGCGTGGTGGGGGTTGGCAGCGGCGAGAGTGAAGCCCTTGGAGGGGTCCTTGAGGAAGCTCATGGTGAGGCGCCGCATCACACACTCCACTGCCGTCGACCCGTTGCTGCTCCCACACCCGCTGCACCCCGCTGCTGCCAGCGTCTGAGTGGGACAAGAGAGCAAGAGAGGGAGGGGCGGATGGAGGGATGCGTGGTTAGATGGGAGACAACGAGTCCATGGCTCTCACTGCCCCCACCCACTCCTGCTCACTCGCCTTCTAATCTCCCCACCTCCTGCCCCCTCCCCTCGTTGAGCTGTGCGCTCCCCATTTCCCTCCATCCTCCTGCCCGCTCCCATGTCCCCTCTCCCCTTCCCCCTCTCTCCTCCCCTCCCCCCCCCCACTCACATCCACGAAGACGCCATACGAGGCCTGCAGGCGCGTGGCGTTCTCCCGCTGCAGCAGCTGCTGCACGGGCGGCGAGGGGTGCAGCGCCGCCATGCACGCCCCCATGGCGCGCTCAAACGCACACGCGTCCGGCAGGGCCTGGCGCGGGCACGGGCACGGCGAGAGGGGCAGGGTGAGAGGGGCAGGGCGAGAGGGGCATGGAAAGGGCATGGAGAGAGTGGAACGGTGAGAGACTTGGAACATTCTGATGAGAGCAGCATTAGGTGGGCACACAGCAGGTGGGCACACAGCAGGTGGGCACACAGCAGGTGGCAGGGCGAGGTCGAAGGCACAGGGGTTCTTCAGAAACGCGATAGACAGGGGGGATAGGAGGATGGGAGGGCGATGGTCGAAAGGGTTGAAAAGCGCGCGCAAGGGGTTAAGAAGTGAGAGATGCTGGGGAGGGCGGTGGCAGAGGCAGGTGCGGATGGGAGACAGTGGTAGCAAGAGCGTTGGGAGAGGAGGGGGCAGCAGAGGTAGGAGGGTGCAGTGCAGTGTGGGTCCCACTCACGAGGCCGAGCCAGTTGACGGCGTCCGGCGACAGCAAGAGGTGCACCGCCGTGCTGCCCCCCCCGCCCCCGGCCCCCCCTCTGCTGCCCGCCGCCCCCCCGCCCTGTGCGTCGGGCGTTGAGCCCTGCGGACACGCGGGTACCACCACCTGCCGCCATGGGGACCCGGGGGCCGGGGGAGGGAGAGAAGAGATGAGAGGCGAGCACGAGGCGAGGGGTGAGGTGAAGTGGACGCATAGATGAGGCGGGCGGGTGGGACGGCAGGCATGCACGCATGAGGAAGGGATAGGTGAGGGGCGCGGAGGGTTCAGTGAAGGGCAGGGAGTGGTAGCTGACTGTGAGGCGCGAGGATAGGTGAGTGAGGGGCGAGGAGGGTTGTGATGTGAAAGGGGAGTGGGGTGGCAGCAAGGAGGTGTACCGTGCGCCTGGCGAGGTTGAGCCCGCTCCTCCACGCCGCAGCGGGCAGCGCTGACTCGCGCACCCACACACGCCGCTCCGGCCCGCCCACGAACGCACTCTTCCCGCCCCCCCTGCCCCCCCCGCCACCCCCCGCCGTGGCGTTGGGGGCGGGCGTGGCAGGGCTGTCGGCAGAGGAGGAGGCGGGCGCGGGCGGCGTGAGGGAGAAGAGGTGGGAGAAGCGGACGTGCGGCATGTGGCGGTCGGACGGCCACACGGCGAGCGTGAGCAGCGTGCTGAGCGCCGTCATGGCGGACGCCGCGCACACCGCGTGCACCCTCTCGCCCAGCTCGCCCTGCGAGGCGCGTGGCGCATGGGCATGGGGGCGAGAATGAGGGACGGGAATGCGTGGTGGGACGAGAATGAGTGAGTAGAGTGAGGGAGAATGCGAGTAAGTGACACGGACGAGTGCAAAGAGGGAGAGAATGGGGAGGTGGGGAATGACGAGAGAAATGTGCGAGGGTAGGCGGAAGGGAGGGGGAGCTGAAGCTCACATCTGCAACGACTACAGCGTCGACGCGGTCGCAACCGTTAGATCTCGTCCCTGGGGCGCATCCACGGCTCAACTTCGTCTCTAACGTCCACAGATCATCCGGGCCGTCAAATTCGCCATCATCCAGCTCATCAAATAGGATGCCGCGTGGTCGCAAGCCTGCATCGTCGTCCTCGTCATAGTCGGTCGCGATATCCAGCGCAACCAGCGCGAGCGTCATCAGCACCCCCGCGGCCAAGACTCGCCTCCAGCCGCACGGCGCGCATCGGAGCGCCGCCATGCGCCGCCCCATGGCGGAACCTACGGTTACTGCGCGAAATTCGGTGCGGATGGGTTTCGTAGTAAAGCGCGGCAACTAGCGCGGGACTCAGCATGCTCGAAGCGATTGTGCATAGCAATGAAGCATAGTGATGAAACAGATGCTACGCGCGTCGCGCTGTCGTCGTGCGACGGCTCTCGCACCTGCTGCGACACCCTTCGATGCGAAGGCTAGCTGCTTCGCGCGCAACCTATTAAATCTGACAACTGATGCGAAGCCGAGCTGACTAGCGATTCTCCGGCACTTTCCGTTATTCGCGTTGTGGCAGAGCTGAAGGGATGGGGACAGACAGTGCGAGGTCGTCAGATTCGGGCGCTGGTGATGCGCGACCCTTTACTAAGGGCGTTGAACCATTTTGAAGGTTTCGGTTCGGTTACTACCGTCCGTTCGAGGTGGTGGTTACTAGTGTCGCCTTCGTTCGTCATGGACATCGCAAGTGACCACCAAACGGAACCGTGTAGAACTTTTTGTCTGAGAACAGAGGACCCTGAAACGAACCACTACACAACCGTGGAAACGGACGGTTGCAGCAAACCGTCGCCGATTGGCTCACGAAAACTCACTGACGATGCGGAATCAGGGAATTTGAAATCCGAGACGCGTTTTCTCTTTCCCGAAAATCATGAAGAACCCCAAGCAGCGTTACAAAACTCTCATCTCGTGCGGTTTCAAATTTCGGAAACAAATCACTCCACGGTTGCAATCTCGAAGTTGCGGTTGACAAGCAACCGTTCGTTTGGCGCCCGCTGGAAAAAAAAAAAAAAAAAAAAAAAAAAAAAAAAAAAAAACGAACTTCAACGAAAATAAAAATGGTTACACGCTCTAATTTCACCGGTAGTGAGATTGGGTCAAAAATGAAACTAAGAACTTTATGTATGCTGTTACGAGTGCAATTGAGTGAGCGAGCGAGAATTGCACTATCAAAGCAAGAGTACAATGAGAGAAGGCATGAGCGAAGAATATATAGCGAAACTACAGTGGTAACGGTAATGTGTAAAAATGGGGTGCACGACGGGCCTAGCGCCGAGGTTGGGAAATGTCGAGGCGGAGGTCCGGAGCGCGGGTCACCAACCGAACCGTGAGGTTGGGTCGCATCGTGAACGGTGGCGGGAGTCGTAGTCGAGGCGAGTGTCGCGAGCGGGTAACGTTTCACTGTTGGGTGCCGATGGCGGGAATGGTGTTGTACGCGGTAAGCAGGGGCGCGAAGTAAGGAAAGGGAATTTTCCTTACACTATCACCCCCCCCCCCAAAAGGAGGCCCTCCTTACGAGAGCGCGTGTACGTCTCGAAAGTTTCGGCTGCGCAGATACTCGAAGAGGACGGGGTAGTTTTCAATTCTGTCCAGGGGAACCCAGTTGTCTTTAGTGGGCGTGCGATCCTTCCAGCGGATCAGGAATTCGATTCTGCGAGCTCCCCGTGGGTCACGAACTCGGTGGCTCAAAATCTTTTCGGGCGTGATGATTGGCTCTGTTGGCGGTCTTGTCATGCTGGCGGGGTGATTGCGAGGCAGTTGGCTGGTGGATGGTACGTATGGGCAGAGCAGGCTGTGTCAGATTTATATGACAGAGCTACTGTAGGCTATAGCGGGGTAGCACATATGGGGTACAGTTTTCTAGGGTTTGCATTTGTACCCAACTTTCCCTTAGTCATTCATCATTCCTGTTTTTCTTAATTCACATGGTATAGAGCGGGTTCCTACATGGGACCGTTCCTTCCTAAGGGCCCACCATAACGAAATTTTTTTTTAGCTGCCCGACGCGCATTGCGCCCCTGCCCTAAATATTTTTTTTAGCGGCCCCTACGCGACCCCTACGCGGCCCCTACGCGGCCCCTACGCGGCCCCCCACCCGGCCCCTACGCAGCCCCTGACGCGGCCCCTGCCGCGGCCCCTGACGCGGCCCCTACGCGGCCCCTACGCTGCCCCTGAGGCGGCCCCTGACGCGGCCCCTGACGCGGCCCCTCCGCCGCCACTACCGCGGCCCCTACGCCGCCCCTGACGCCACCCCTGACGCGGCCCCTGCCGCGGACCCTGACGAGGCCCCTGGCGCGGCCCCTGACGCGGCCCCTGCCGCGGCCCCTGACGAGGCCCCTGGCGCGGCCCCTGACGCCGCCCCTACGCCGCCCCTGACGCGGCCCCTGACGCGGCCCCTGACGCGGCCCCTGGCGCGGCCCCTGACGCGGCCCCTGCCGCGGCCCCTGCCGCGGCCCCTGACGCGGCCCCTGACGCGGCCCCTGCCGCGGCCCCTGCCGCGGCCCCTGACGCGGCCCCTGACGCGGCCCCTTCGCCGCCCCTGCCGCGGCCCCTACGCCGCCCCTGACGCGGCCCTCTCCTGCACCTGACGCGGCCCCTAGCGGCCGGCCGCTGCCGTCCCTGAGGCAGCAGCCGCCGCCGTCTCTGCAGCAGCAGTCGCAGCCGAACGGCCGAGCCGCCGAGCCGCCGAGCCGCCCAGCAGCCGAGCCGCCCAGCCGCCGAACCGCCCAGCAGCCGAGCCGCCCAGCAGCTGAGCCGCCGAGCCGCCCAGCAACCGAGCCGCCGAGCCGCCGAGCCGCCCAGCAGCCGAGCCGCCGAGCCGCCCTGCAGCCGAGCCACCCGAGCCGCCCTGTCCGGTAAGAGCAGCGCCCCTTTCACAGCACTGCCCTCACCCTACTGTTTGCGCTGCTAGTCTACTACTGTCATGGCTACCCCTAGTGTCCTCGCTTTTGACGCTGAGGGTCGGGCCATTGACTTTGATGTCTGGATAGATGACCTGCAGCTTTTCTTACAGTGCGACAGGGCAGACGGCCTCTCCCTCTTTGACCTCACTTCTGGTGCCTCTCCTGCCCCCGCTGCTGATGCTGACGCCACTGTTCGCTCACAGTGGGCCACGCGCGATGCTGCTGCACGTCTTGCTGTGCGTCGCCACCTGCCTACCTCTGAGCGTGCGCACTTTAGCCAGTACAAGAGTGCTCAGACCTTGTACGACGCTGTAGTTGCGCGCTACTCCTCCCCTGCCACTGCTGCACTGAGCCGCCTCATGCTACCGTACCTCTTCCCTGACCTTGCTGCCTTTCCCACAGTCGCTGACCTCATTACGCACCTCCGCACTAGTGACACTCGCTACCGCGCTGCGCTTCCTGCTGAGTTCTGCGCCAAGAACCCCCCCCCCATGTACATCACCCTCTACTACATAGTCACCCGGCTCCCTGACTCCCTTCGCGTAGTCAGGGACCACTTCCTCTCAGTTTGCCCCACCACTCTCACCGTTGACCTCCTCGAGAAGTCCCTCCTAGCAGCCGAGAAGAGCATAGTCGCTGTAGGAGCCTCTCGTGGTGACCCTCGCACCCCCATCTTTGAGGGGTGTTCCCCCTCCCCCCTTTTGCCCTCTGTTGCCTCTGCTGCTGCGGCCGACCTCGTTGGGCTTGAGTCGGTCGGTGCGGCGTCTACCCCTAGCGGGAGACGTCGCCCTGGCAAGGGCAAGGGGGGCAGGGGCACTGGAGGAGCTAGCGGGGGCGGTGGAGGCGGAGGTGGAGGCGGTGGAGGGGGTGGGGGTGGTGGTGGGGGTGGTGGCGGGGGTGGAGGTGTCGGTGGCGGCAGTGGAGGCGGAGGCGGAGGCGGCGGTGGCGGTGGGAGCGGAGGTGGCGGCGGTGGAGGAGGAGGCGGGGGAGGAGGTGGAGCTGGTCGGGGTGGAGCTGCGCAGAGGGTCGGCTCCGGTGGTGGTCAGCGCCAGCAGCAGCAGCAGCAGCAGCAGCAGCAGCGCACTCGTGACATCCCCTCCCCTCAGCAGCTCCGTGAGTGGTACACTGCACGCCAGAGGGGTGGGGGTACTGGTCCGTGCACCTACGTCCTCCGCACCGGCGACCGCGCGGGTGACCAGTGCGGGGGTGCGCACTCCACCCAGCGCTGCTTTAGCCGCCTGACGGACGCTTGGCGTCACCAGTTCCCTGAGGCCACTGAGATCCCCCGCTGGGGTGAGCTGTCTAGGGCGGGTGTAGCTGTCTTTGACCTTGACTTTGATGCTATTCTTGCTGCCATGTATACTGTGACTATTAGTGATGAGGGTGACTGTTACCGGTGTTTTCCGCCCGACCCGGGCATTGAGACTGCTGCTCTAGGTACTGGTGAGGCTGCTGCTCTAGGTGCTAGCGAGGCTGCTGCTCTAGGTGCGTCTGCTCCCTCAGGTGCTGGTGAGTCTGCTCTCTCAGGTTCTGCGTCGGCTTCCGCCTCCCACACCTTCACCCTTGACTCGGGGGCTTCTCGCTCCTTCTTTCGAGACCGCACCACACTCACGCCGCTTGGCCGGCCAGTTGCAGTCTCTCTGGCAGACCCCTCTGGGGGTCCTGTCCTTGCTCACTTCTCCACTGTCCTCCCGTGTCCGGCGGCCCCCTCTGGCACCCTGTCTGGTCTTTACCTCCCCTCGTTCTCTACGAACTTGGTGAGTGGTGCTGACCTACAGGATGCGGGGGTTCACCAGTTCACTCCTGCGAGTCAGCGGGTGACCCACTGCACGGACGCTCGGACAGGCCGACACCTGGCCACGTTTACACGTCGGTCGGGGTCGAGCCTGTACACACTGACCACTGCGTCTCCTCCGGTCACTGCGTCTGGTCAGGTAGCTGCGTCAGGTCAGGTGTTTGCTGCAGCGTCCAGGTCTGGTCCTGAGTCTGCCCCCTGTTCGTGTCGCCTCCTGTCTCACGAGACTCTCCTCTGGCACCACCGCCTTGGTCACCCCTCCCTGCTTCGTCTCCGAGGCATGGCCTCCCGTGTCCTTGTCTCTGGTCTTCCCCGGTCCCTCCCTCCCCTTCCTCCGGGGCCTGGCCCTACCTGCGTCCCCTGTGTCGAGGGGCGGCAGCGGGCTGCCCCTCACTCCTCCCAGTTTCCTCCGACAAAGGCCCCGCTGCAGACGCTTCACATGGACGTGTGGGGCCCGGCCCGCGTCCGTGGACAGGGTCACGAGCGCTACTTCCTGCTGGTGGCTGACGACT